CAGCCGATCGATGATTCTCTCTCATCGTGGATGTTTCTATCTCTCTCTCTCTCTCTCTCCCTTCCTCTCTAAAATCGATAAAAATATATTTTTTAAAAAAATCTAATCTGAGACGCCCAAAAAAAGTCCCACCAAGGCCTATGTGGTCAATTACCATTCTTGCTGCACTTGTGGATGAAAAAGTGGCCCAGTACTAAACCTGACAAGCTCAAGGGGGGGCCTGTATGGCGGGCCTTGCAGACTCAGAGACCAAAAGTAACCACGCAGGAGGGTCTGAATGTAAACATTCCTAACTAAAAGTGAGTCCTGGCCGGCAGTCAAGGCCCGTAGCTTCCTTGACAAAGGTCAGTCTTTATCTTGAGCAAGCCTGTCTACTTTGGTTTTGTTTTTTGCCTTTAAGGTAACATACCTTTGAAATATCAGAGTAATCTTCTTTTTCAGACCCCTCCGGGTACCAGAGCACCGGACCACAGGAGCCCTCGTTGTTATCTCGTTTCCCACACGCCATCGCTATGTGCTGTAAATGTTAATTATAACTGTGCTGTCACCACTCATGTAAAGGAAATATGTGTCTCTCCGATTCATTTTTTAAAAAATAGTTTATTGATTTTGAGAGAGAGAGAGAGAGAGAGAGAGAGAGAGAGAGAGAGAGAGGAACATCAATGTGAGAGTGCAACATCAATAGGCTGCCTCCTGCACGTCCCCTACTGGGGATTGAGCCAGCAACCTGGGCATGTGCCCTTGACCAGGAATCCAACCCCCCGGTGCACGGGACGACCCCCCACCAACTGAGTCACACTGGCCAGGGCTCCGGTTTACTTTATAGCTAATCCCAGAGATTTCCCACACCCCTGTTTTGCTTTCTCTGGCCCCCTTAGTCTATCACTAATGAGTTTCATGTAACCCTCCTTACATCTCTTCCTTTTATTTTAATGTCTAAAATAAGCTACCCAACTGCCCTTCTCGGGAGCATTTTCTCAAGCCGTTGAGAGTTGCTTCTGGGCACTTGGCAGTTTGGCTCAAATAAACTCATAAAAATTCTCTACAGGTTTGGACGTTGCTTATACAAGTTGGGCCAAATTTAATGAGACCAGAACTATTTTAAACAAGAATAATTACTCTGGTTATCTTTGATCAAAAAGGAAGAAGTGACTGTCGAGATAAATTTCTCAAAGGAGAAAAATAACACACCCTGAAGATACCGGTCTTGTTCACTGCCTTCGAGATTTTATCATCTACAGAGGAAGGAGACGGGATCCTGCCATCTTACACATACTGTCAGCCCTTACTAAATCATTTTTAGTTTCCTTCAATATCTGGCTCCAATTCTCCAAACTGATGTTTCCATTTTACACTCTCCCTCCTGACTTAGCATCTAAAACTTGACTGCCCAGACCCTTACTGGGACTCAGGTTGTGTTGCAGCTGCCCCTTTTCCTTCAGGATCTGAAAGAGCCCCACAACTTGAAATAAATTTCAAAGCCAGGCCAGTGTGGCTCAGTGGTCAAGGCTGACTCATGAACCAGGAAGGTCCTGATTCGATTCCGGGTCAGGACACACACCCGGGTTGTGGGCTCAATCCCCAAGCGTGCGGGAGGCAGGCGATCAATGGTTCGCTCTCATCCTTGATGTTTCTCTCTCTCTTTCTCCCTTCTTCTCTCTGAAATCAATAAAAATACATTAAAAATTTTTTTCAAAGAACTCATCACCACAATAAATCATGTACAGGCAGCCCCTGTACTGGAGTGGCTGTTGCATGGGCCACTCGGAAAGTCCCTGGGAACTCCTGCATCTTCCAGGCTATAACCTTGCCTGTGACACCGATGTCTAGGAGGCCATCACCACAAACTTTCAAACTACACACCGGAAATCCATTGGTTTGCGACCGCCATCCTCACTCCACCACCTACAGACCCTTACAGCTCAAATCTAAACTTTTCTCAACTGTCTGCCCGCAGGACTCACAAACTGGGATTACAGTCAGTTCCTCTGCTTTGCTTCCTGTGTCCATAACAATGTCCCTCATGCCCTGGCCTGGTGTGGCTCAGTTGGTTAAGCATCATCCCATGTACCAGAAGGTCGCCAGTTCAATCCCCCACAAAGTCATAGGCTCAATCTCCAGGAGGGGGTGTGCAGGAGGCAGCTGATACATGTTTCTTGCATGATGTTTCTCTCCCTTTCTCGCCCTCTCCCTTCCTCTTTCTCTAAAATAAATAAAAACATTTTTTTTCATGCCTCATAGCTTGCACCATCCAGCAAATATCTTCTATTACCAAATCCCAACAGATGGTTCAGCTGTTCTTTAATGAACAAAAGATGACCAAAAAGGCAATGGACTTTGTTTAATTCTTCTTTCCTTCGACGAGAACAGGACTTGATAAGGACTCTCTCCTTGACCAAACCCTACCTGGCTCCTCTGAGCCTTCTTCTCAACTAGGCCTCGACCTTGGCCTATAAAGATTTGAACAAATACTAACATAGTTTCTAACAGCTCAAGGCTGCATCCATCCATTCCCAGGATGACCCCATCCCTCCCTTAAGGTGCCTGCCTGTTCCAGACAATAACCGAGGACACACCCGTCTCCCCACCTGTGTGTGTGGGGGGGGGGGGGGGGGGGGTGAAGGTAGGGAGGAGGAACTTAACTTCCACAAGTGCCACTTAGCAAGCTAGTAAGCCAGGATAAGCAGCAGAGGGAAACTGAGACGGATGGTTCAACTGCCGTTTGCAGCCATCTAGAAAATCTAGATGCCAAGCAGCTTCTAGACACCTAGCAAATCCTATCTCCTCTAAACCATGGACACTTAGGAGCCAATGGTTTGCACTTCTTCCCAACCAGAGTGAAAATGGCTTAAATACCTTACTTGGGGAGACAGCAGAAATCCAATTAGTGCCATTTGCTAATCAAACCCAAGGATAGATGAGGTTAAGACAGCGGTTCTCAACCTGTGGGTCGTGACCCCTTTGGGGGTCAAACGACCCTTTCACAGGGGTCGCCTAAGACCATCGGAAAACACATATATAATTACATATTGTTTTTGTGATTAATCACTATGCTTTAATGATGTTCAATTTGTAACAATGAAAATACATCCTGCATATCAGATATTTACATGACGATTCATAACAGTAGCAAAATTACAGTTATGAAGTAGCAACGAAAATAATTTTATGGTTGGGGGTCACCACAACATGAGGAACTGTATTAAAGGGTCGCAGCATTAGGAAGGATGAGAACCACTGGGCTAAGAGAATAAATCTCTTTTTTTGGTACATCAGCATAAAGCGGATGAATATTCTATTGCGACCCTCTCTTAAGACCTCCCCTAAATGCCCAGACTTTAAATCCCCTGAGAAGGAAGGTCCCAGCGGGTGCTCGAACACCCAAGCCTTCGTCCCTTCTTCCCCTCCTTTCTCCACAGGGATGCATCTCCTAAACTCTAAGTGACCCCACGAGGCTTACAACCAGGGCAACAACGGCCAGTGGCAATTCGTCCCGGCAAACCTCCTAAACCTGACCCCAAGGCCCCCTTTTCTCTGACCTCTTGGTGAGCCCAGGCTCGCTTCCCCAGCCCTTTCTTGCTTCACTGTCCCCAACGTTAACCAACGTCCTCTAAAATTCACCTGGACTCGTAACATTTTTCCTGCACAAAGTCAAAAACCCACACACTACCCACCGACTGGCCTGAGGTGGACTGGAGAAGGGCCAGGTCCCCTTTCCAGTAAGCGTCACGTGGACCAACCCCCCATTCTGCTTTTCATAATTTTCACTTTCCCAACTCTCTCAACCCCCCCCCCCCGACCTCCCCCCCCCCATTTTATTCTCCCTTTTAAAAATACCCAGTTTCGCCCAACCCGTGCGGCTCAGTGGTTGAGTGTTGACTTAGGAACCAGGTGGTTGAAGCTGGGTTCCCCGTCAGGGCACATGAGGGCTGGATCCCCAGTGTGGGCCGTGCAGGAGGCAGCCGATCATTGATTCTTTCTCATCATTGACGTTTCTATCTCTTTCTCCCTTTCCCTTCCTTTCTAAAATCAATTAATATATATATATATAAACATACACATACATACACACACATCCAGGTCCTCTGAGCATATCAAGCGCTTTCGCCTGCTCTCAGCATTTACTGAATAAAATCCGTCCTCACCGCTTGAGCTAGTGTCTGGCTGTGTTCATCTGTGACACGGCCCCCCTCACAGGAATTGTTCCTCTGAGCACCCCCATAGCACCCAGGCCAGCTCAGTCCCAGCAAAGGACACAGACGACCCTGGCTGGAAACCCCCAAAAGTTAGCAGGTCAGGCCTGGGGCAACTTCCCTTTTCTCTACATTCTCAAGGGGTGGCGTGAGTCTTGGGCTACTGTCATGGCCTCCCTGGTGGGGCAGCCGGTTCCCGTGAAGGGAACGGCCTGGGGTACCCCAAGGCCTCCAAGAGAGAGCCTGTGGGGGACACCCCGAGCCCCTCTGGGCCTGGGCCCTCACTATCCCGCCCCCGAGGTTCCGATCCAGCTCCGAGGCCAAGGGTGACCCTCTCCGGGTGAGTCAGGACCTGACTCTGCAATCAGTCACCAGGGCAGCCCCCCACCCCAGGCGGCAGCCCCCCCACCCAGGGGTCTGGATCCCCCCAGGAGTCTGGATCCCCACGGGAAGTGGGACCCCCCCACTCTGGACCCCTGTCCCCAAGTCGGATCTTGCCCCACACACAGCACAGCGCTCCCCGCCCTCGGTGAAGTCTGGTTCCCCTCCCCCAACGACTGCCCAGAGCCCCCCGCCCCCCAAGATCGGACCCCTTCATCCGGGTCCGAACCCCCCACCCCTCCAACCGAATCCCCAACTCCGGCCCAGAGACCCCCCCGCCCCAGGTCGGAGTGCCCGCGCCCGGCCCGGATCCCCGGCCCAGCGGGACCAGGTCGGACCCCGCGGCAGGTCGGCTCCGCCCGGCGGCCGCCGCGCGCACTCACCTCGCCCTGGCGGACCCGGGGGCGGCGCAGGCAGCGCGGCGGGCAGCCCGGCCACGAGGCCCCGCGGCGACGGCGGCGATGGCGATGGCCGTGCGGGCGGCGCTGCGGGGAGTCTGCGGGCGCTTCCGGTGGCGGACGCAGGCCTCGACCTCGGCCTCGGCGGGCGGGGTGCGGGGCGCGGCGCAGGGCGCAGCAGGTAGGGCGGGTCCGGCCGGGGTGCCCACGCGGGGGTGGCCCTGGGTGTCGCGGTGGCGGCTGGGACGGGCGTCCTCCCGCTGCCGGGCGCCCTCGGGCCCCGTCCGGAGGGAGGAGCCGCTGGGAGCCGTGCAGGGGGTGCTGCTGGGGAGGCACCTGCGCTCGGCCCCCCTCCCCTTGCCCAGGATGAAGTCTGGACCCCCCGAGGGGGACGGCTCGGCGCCCGAGGTTCCCAGGGGCCGCCCCCTCTCCCCGAGGCCCTAGCGCCCCACCCCGCAAGTGCTCACTCAGTCCAGGCGCACGCGGGAGTCCGGGAGGGGCGCCGGGGAGCCGGCGGGCTGGGCACCCGCTGTCCGCCCTGCTCTGCGGGTGCCCTGGGCTGGAGAGGACTTGTGGCTCAACCTCCTGGAGCCACGGAGGGACACTGACCAAACCAGGACCGTGATCACAGGCGCACAAGTGCCGCCAGGGTCCCGAGCTCGGGCTGGCTGCTCAGGAGGGTGTAGTGGGTGTGCAAGGGCCCGAGCAGGGACCGGTGAGGGCTCCTTCCCCGGCCTGGGGCTGCGGGAATCGGGTGGTGGCCCTTGGCCGGTGGTGGGCTGGGGAGCAAGGGCTGACTGCACGTGTAACTGGGCAAACGTGTACTCTGTGGCCTTGGGGATCCCAGGGGAGCCAAGGAAAAGATCTGTAAACAGGAGCTGCCCCTACGGTTCAGGATTTTGTTTTTTTAAATATATTTTATTGATTTTTTACAGAGAGGAAGGGAGCGGGATAGAGAGTTAGAAACATCGATGAGAGAGAAACATCGATCAGCTGCCTCCTCCACACCCCCTCCTAGGGATGTGCCCACAACCAAGGTACATGCCCTTGACCGGAACCGAACCCGGGACCCTTGAGTCCGCAGGCTGACTGAGCTCTGTCCACTGAGCCAAACCGGTTAGGGCACGGTTAGGTTTTTTTTTTTTAAGCTGAGTGTCATGCCAGTGGCCTTGGGTCGGAGTCTTTAGTTTCCAGTTAGGCAGGAGGCAGTGCCCCAAGAATTCTGTCCCCTCCCACCCCTCCCCCAGCTGTGGTGGTGAGCAGACAGGGCCAACCCCCAACAAGGACACCCGGTCAGATGTTAAACCTTCTCCTCCATGTCAGCCTTGCAGCGTCTCAGAGTAGAAGGATGCCTGCTCCGTCCAGGCTTGTGGGGAGACTGTGATGCATTCCCTGGACAGGAACCAGCATGGCAGTGCTGCTGGTGTCCCTTGTCCCCTAACACTTACTGCCAGGGTCTCCCCAAGGTAGTGCCCCAAGCGAACTGGCACACCGGGGGACCACTTGCCCTCCCAGAGCAGCACACGGTTCACTCAGCCTTGCCACACGCGCTGGGCTCCGGTGCCAGGCACCGTGGTCAGAGAGGAGCAGAAAATTAAAGGGCAGTGGGCTAAGAACTCCAAGGCCAGGCCTTTCTGGGCCAGCCCTGCCTGCTGGGCCTGGCTGAGGTGGGGAGGGCGAGGCTGTGAGGCAGCCCAGGGCATGGAGTGCACAGGTGCCTCTAATGCAGTGGTCAGCAAACCGCGGCTCGCGAGCCACATGCGGCTCTTTGGCCCCTTGAGTGTGGCTCTTCCACAAAGTACCACGTGCGGGCGCGCACGTACAGCGCGACTGAAACTTTGTGGCCCATGCGCAGAACGGTTTTCGGAAAGGAGATACGAAACGAGTATACAAGACGAATGTGGATGGGAGAGAGTTGGAAGGGGTCGACCTCAGGGAACATACCTCAATCAGATTGAGGACGTTTTTAGCAAAGGCCAGCTTAGGAGTCCCCTAATGAAGTTAATAACAATGTACCTACCTATACAGTTTAAGTTTAAAAAATGTGGCTCTCAAAAGAAATTTCAATCGTTGTACTGTTGATATTTGGCTCTGTTGACTGATGAGTTTGCCGACCCCTGGTCTAGATGACTCTGCAGAGTAGCTCCCACCCCATCCCCTCTGGGGTCCTTCAGGGTCACTCCTCCCCGGCAATCTATCTGAACCTTCCCATGAGTTCAAAGGCAGATTCCTCTCACTTACCGAAGGCTCCACTGCCGGCCTCTTCCAAGTGGTTATCAGGCTCAGAGGGCTCCTGGGTGTGCACAGTGAGTGGGGAGAGCAAACCGCTAAAGATAAGCCCCTATTCCACATGGCCAGTTGCTCTTCCTGTCCTCTGCCTGGTAGCTGGCCAGATAAAGGGGGTGGGGGGCACCGGGCTGGGCTTCGGGGCAGGGAGACTCAGCGGGGACCCTGCTGTGGTGGCAGGAAGGACGAGCACCTGCAATGGAAGGTAGGGGTGTTCTGCTGGGTAAAGCCTCCCCCTGGTACCCCGACAGGCAGCTAGCCTGAGCTCCTCATCCGACGGTAGCTCTTCTCCAGCGGCAGTTGGTTTTGGGTTCTCCAGGCTCATATGGAAGCCATCAGAGTAACTGACAGCAGGTGAAGACCTCTTCAGCGTCTTTGAGTTGCATTTGGAACTGGGTCCACTTTGGACTGGCTGCTTGAACCGAGTTGTGGCTCCATTCGATCCCTAAGAACCTGTGCATGCATCTCAGGTGCCCTCCGATGCCTCCTGCTGCTTGGCGGGCACAGCTGCGGGTCCCCATGGGCAGGCTGCCTGCAGGCCATGGACCGAGTGCCTGGACACAGCTCTGGGCGGCTGCTCCCCAGGCTTCCTCAACTGCAACCCAGGGCCTCCTCTAGGCTCGAGCTGCTGTGTCCCTGAGGAGCACAGGCCCCGGACTGAGGCCTGTGGGGCATCTCCTGAGCTCAGGTCCCTGCGGGGCTGGGGCTCTGGGTGTTGTCTCCACAGCCAGGAAGGTTGAGGTGGCTGCCAAAACGGTTGCACTCTTCTCACGGAGAGGCCCAGGCTCAGGGTCACTGGCCTTGGGTAGCAGACCCACGGACTGATAATTTCCTATGATTTCTTCTTTCCTGGTGCTCTAGGCTCACATGGAAGCCATCAGAGTAACTGACAGCAGTTTAAGGCCTCTTCAGAGTCTTTGATCCCCTGCCTGCGCTGGGTATCCCTAACTTGGGCCCTGGGTTAGAGCTCTCACAGGCTGGCCATCCCTAAGGACACACCTGTCCTCACCTATCACTCCATTCCCTTTCTCCATGTCTTTTTGGCTGTCTCTTGACTGCCTTCTATGTCAGTAGTTTGTAGAAGAGACGAGCAGTCCTCTGTGCTGGGCACGGGAATGGAGGATGCATGCTGCCTCTGAGGTGACACCACAGTGAGCCCCAAAGGCATTTCAGGGAGGAACTCAGGGCCAGGGAGGAGCCTGTATGTGCCCATGACTGGAATCGAACCTGGGACCCTTTGGTCCTCAGGCTGACACTCTATCCACTGAGCCAAGCTGGGTAGGGCAAGGGCCTGTGCCACTTTTAACCAGACGGGGCTGCTTGCACTTTGGATATTCTGTGTCACCTTCTGGGATTGGGGCCCCAGGCTTGTCCTGCCCTTCTTAGCCTTTTCCCCTTATTCCAGCAGGACTACTGGACTACGATCTCCTGGTGATTGGTGGGGGATCCGGCGGGCTGGCCTGTGCCAAGGAAGGTATGTGTCTTGTGCCCTTATGGTGCCACCAAGTTTTCAGTGGTGTTCTCCAGGGCTGGGTGGGGATGTGCCCTGAGAAGCCATGAGCAGAATTCATTGTCTCCACAGCTGGCTTCCAGGGTCCTATCACTCTGCCAGGATCACCCCAGCAATCTTATCACTGTGCCCTGCTCCCCATTGTACCCCAGTTATCTGTGCAGCACACAGCAGCCAGGTTGGAACCCCAAGTCTGAGTCTGCCCTCCTCGGCACCAGCCCCAGGCCTCACGGGATCTCCCCACCTTGGGATATCTCTCCTACCACCCAATCCCTCCCTCACACCACTCAGCCCCCTGCCTCTTCGCTGTTTTGCAAATGCTCCCTTAGGTCCCTCTGGCCTTGTGCCCTGGCTGGCGGTTGCCCTGTGTAGCCTGCTCTTCACCTGCCCTGTTAGCTGTGGGGCTCACTCGCCTCCCTCCAGTCTTTGTTGCTGAGATGGCGAATTGTACCCTCCTGCATGTCCAGTTCCCATCACTGGCTCCGCTGTCCTTGTTCTTAGCCCTGGCACCGTCCCGCAGAGATCACGGTTTGATGTGCTGGCTGGGTCTTGCTCTCCAGATGGGTCCAGGCACCCGGGGGCATTTAGTGAAAAGGTGTGCAGTAAACGGGCTGGACCAGAGGCACCCTGAGACATCACGCCTCTCTAGAGTTGCAGTGTGCCACTCCCCCAGGTGGGGACAGGCTGCCAGGGTTTCACTGTAGACCCTGGGCTCTGCTGGAGGAGCGCCCAGCAGCCTGCTCCCCAGTCTAAATGACAGCGGGCAGATGTGGGAGAGTGAAGGGGAGGGGACGGGAGAGAAACAGGGCCGAAAGCAAGAGGGAGTTGAGCAGGCACCCTGGCCATGAATCTATGGCTCCCTCGTGGCAGATACTAGGTTTTAGAATCTCAGATGGTGTAAAGGAAATTCACTCTCCACTGCTCTTGCTCTGAGGGGTGGGGAAGGGGCCCCGCCTGCTCTGAGGGCCAGGAACCTGGGAAGTCTCCTGGCTGATTTGGGGGTTCCCAGAGGGACTTTAGGTCTTCACTCCACTGGACCACTGAGCCACTCTAGGGGCAGTTGTCTGTCCCTTAGAGCAGGAGAAAGCCCTGGACCTGTGTCCACTCCAGTGTCGTCTCTCTAGAGACGTATCTCAACCCAAAACAATTCCCGGGTCTGTCTTTGGCTTTTGTAACAGTGGCATTTTTTACAACTTTATTAAGACATAATTAACAAATCGTATATATTTAAAGTGGACAACTTGCTAAGGTTTGACATACATACACACCTGTGAAATGGTACCACAATCAAGATAATGAATCCATCACCCCTGTATTAGTGTGCTGGGGCTGTCGTGACGAAGGTCATAGACCAATGATGGCGAACCTATGACACGCGTGTCAGAGGTGACACGCGAACTCATTTTTTTGGTTGATTTTTCTTTGTTAAATGGCATTTAAATATATAAAATAAATATCAAAAATGTAAGTCTTTGTTTTACTATGGTTGCAAATATCAACAAATTTCTAGATGTGACACGGCACCAGAGTTAAGTTAGGGTTTTTCAAAGTGCTGACACGCCGAGCTCAAAAGGTTCGCCATCCCTGTCATAGACCGAGCGGCTCAAACAGCAGAACTGTACTTTCCTATAGTTCCGGAGGCCGGAAGTCTGAGGTCACGGGCCAGCAGGGTCCGTTTATTCTGAAACCTCTCTCTTTGGCTTGTACCTGGCCGCCTTCTCATTGTGTCCTCACGTGGTTGTCCCTCTGCTGGTGTCTTTTTATATAAAGATACTAGTCAGATCGTATTAGCGCCTACCCATCTGACCTCATTTTAACAGCTCACCCCCGTGAAGACCCTGCCTTCAAGTAAGGCTACATCCTGAGATTCTGGGGGTTAGCACCCCAATTTGGGAGGGGCACAATGCAGCCCATAACAACCTGCAAAGTTTCCTCACACGCTGAGAAGTCCTTCCTGCTCCCCGCTCCCTGCGGTATCCTCCAGCGAGCCGTGATCCGTGTTCTCTCACTATACATTAGTTTGCATTTTCTAAAATTGTGTACAAATGGAATCATGCTATATGTATTTTTTTCTGGCTTCTTTCACGTAGCAGGATTACTTTGAGATTCATCGATGTTGCTATATATATCCACAGTCCATTCTTTTTTCTTGTTGATTAGTATTCTGTTATATATATATCACATTTTGTTGGTTCATTCACCTGTAAATGGACATTTGGCTTGTTTCTAGTTTGGGGCTATTGTGAACAGTGCTGCTATGAACATCTGTGTGTGTGTGTGTGTGTGTGTGTGTGTGTCTTTGTGTGCATATATGTATGTTTTTTAAAATATTTTTATTGATTTCGGAGAGGGAGGGAGAGAGAAACATCAACACATTGACGGCACTAGGCTTGTGCTGAGTGTCTGGGCCTGGAACCAGGCGGGGTGGGAGGCGAGGAAGAGCTGGGCCCAGAAGAGGGTTTCTGCCTGTGGGCAGCACAGCTGGGTGGCAGCAGGCAGTGGGAGACCCAGGTGCAGAGCTGGTGGTGCCACTGGCCCTCGTCCTTTCCCACCCCTTCTGGGTCACATAGGCTCCTGGAGTCCCAGCCCCAAAGCAGCTCCCCAGTTGTGCCCACCTGCCCTCTCCTCTTGTCATTCCAGCCGCTCAGCTGGGAAAGAAGGTGGCCGTGGTAGACTACGTGGAACCGTCCCCGCAAGGTAGGCAGCCCCCAACTGGAGCCACGTGTCCTGGGAAGTGGGTAGGGAAGGGCAGTTCCTGGTATAGAGGGCAGCTGAGCCCCTGCTTTCCAGAGTCTCCAGAGAGTGCCCTGTTTCCCTGTAAACTGCCATTATTTTAAAGTTTCTTGTTCTTATTTAAAAATGACTCTGGCTCTGGTTGGTGTTGTTCAGTGGTTAGAGTCGGCCTATGCACCTGAGGGTTGCAGGCCCGATTTCCGGTCTAGGGCACGTACCTGAGTGGCAGGTTCCATCCCTGGCCCAGTCAGGATTAACAACAAAACACACTAAAAAAGGACTCTGAACACTATTATACAGAGCAGAGCAGTAGAGCAGGGTCCTCTGGGCCATGTATGAGTTACAAACCACAACCTAAGGGGATTCTAAACTGTAGAAGAACAGGAAAGCCTCGCCCGCATATAAATCTAAATGTGCTCTTCTCAACACACCAGGCACCCGGTGGGGCCTCGGCGGCACCTGCGTGAATGTTGGCTGCATCCCCAAGAAGCTGATGCACCATGCAGCGCTGCTGGGGGGCATGATCCGAGACGCCCCCTACTACGGCTGGGAGGTGCCCCAGCAGGTCCCGCATGACTGGTGAGGGGCCCGGCTGTTCCCTGGGCTTTTCTGCTCCTCCCGGAGGAGGCGGAGGGTTATTCATCTGCTAACCTGCAGAGAAGCATGCTGACCCATGGGGCTTCTCACCTGGGGCAACCTTGGACCCCAGGCATGTGGCAGTGTCTGGAGACATTTTTGGTTATCACCAGAGGGGTGAGGGAGGGGTGTACTGCTACGTCTACTGGGTAGCACCCTGGGATGCTGCTATAGGTCCTGCAGCACACAGGACACCCCCAAATAGGATGATCTGACCCCAAGGCCAGTGTTTTGGGGTGGAAACCATTTTAGGTTTAGCAGATGGCACCTGGTCCACTGAGAGCCACACACAGGCCCCTTTGGGGTTCTTGGTGACCTAGACGCAGGGCTGCTGCCCTGTCCTGACCACTGGGGAACAAAGCCCTGTTTCCCATGAGTCCGAAGGTCCACATCCCCAAACCTGGACAGCGGTGGTGGCCATGGGGAGGGACATCATGTTTGACCATTTTTAGAGACACCTCCGTTTCGTGGTGTTTCTGTTGACGCACTATTTGCATCTAACAGTCTGTTTGGGACTCTACAGCTACCACTTCTGTGGTGGCTTTTCACATTTTGTTTTGTGCGATAACAGGAGGAAAATGGCAGAAGCCGTTCAAAACTACGTGAAGTCCCTGAACTGGGGGCACCGGGTCCAGCTGCAGGAGAGGTACTGAGCCTCGCCGCCCCCTGGCCTTCCCTGGGTCATCTCAGACCTTGACAAGCCCTTACTCATGGGGGCTCAGCAGCAATGAGATGAGAGTCCTGGCCCAGAAGGTGGAGCGTGCAGATAAGCAGCTGGCAGGCGAGTGCCCTGGGAGTGGAGGCTGCCCTGCGGGGTGGCCCAGCAGAGCCCAGAGCAGCACAGTGTGAGGTTCACGATGTAGAAGGTTTAGCGGGCGGCCCCTGTTCTGGCTTCCGGCTCCCTGGGCACGGTGACGAGGCCTGGCGTTGTGCGCTAGAGCACAGGCCTGATTGATCACTCCAGCCTGAGGCCAGCAGGGCCCATCAGCCCTTTGGGATCCCCAGCCCAGATGCTGACATTTCCTGCCACCAAAGCATCTCCCATCCTTAGGGAGAGGTGCCTGAAACTGTACTTGACTCAGGCTAAGCTTTGCTCCTTATCCAGTCGTTCTGCCCTAGGCCACGTGGGTCATGGAGGAGACCCACTCCCTCAGAGGTCTGGTGGCCCTCATCTGAGCACCCTTAGCTTGGTCCCAAGGGATCTTCCTGGCCGTGCAGTAGGCAGCTGTTTTGTGCCCTGTTACCCAAGAAAGCTGAGCCAGGAGGCTGCTACCCCGGCTTCCCCAGCGGTCCCTCGGGGAGCTAGGGCACATTGCATCATTTCTTCTCTGAATGGGGCTCGCTGCTCCCCAGTGCAGTTTTCTGGAGGCATCAGGCTCTGCCGTTTGTTCTGTCTGACCCCAGGCAGGCACCAAACAGGCCGGGCAGTGGGCTGACTCTAGAGCTGCTCACAGAAGGAGGCTGGTGTGGAATTGTGTGTCTGTGTCCTGCAGCTCTTCATGGGTGAACAAGGACTTCTGTAGGAGCTTCAGGTGGGACGTGGAGGCACAGAGCTTGGCATTGGGAAGAACGCCAGGTCAAGGTGGTGGTGAAGGCTCCCCAGCGCCACCTAGAGCCCACACCACAGCATAGCCTTTGTGATCAGAGAGGGTGGGTTGCTTCCGTACACCCTGCTCCTGACCACCCTTGTGCTCGACCCATTTCCTGGTCTCACTATCCCTAAAGGTTGGGGGTGCTGGCTGTCCTCTGGGCACTCTTCCTTGCCAGCGGGAAATTGGTGGTTGGGATGTTTTGGGGTAACTGTGTGCACTTGGGGGTCTCTTTCTAGTGGAATGTGCCTGACCCCTAGGGGAGGCCGTGCTTCTGCCCCTCCCCCGTGCTTCCTGGCACCGTTCTCTCCGCTTCCCCACCTGGACTGTGGGTGGAGGACGTGCACTGTGGGATCGCGCTCACATTTTACTAGCCACCCAGTGCTCCCTATTTCATCGCGCAGGTGATGCTGAATTTGTATAGGAAATGCTTGAAAATTCTATTTATTTTGCAGAAAAGTCAGCTACTTTAATATGAAGGCCAGCTTTGTGGATGCGCACATGGTTCGCGGAGTGGCAAAAGGTGGGAAAGAGGTGAGTCCCGACCTACCGTGCCTCGGACTGAGGTGCTGTTCTCAGTAATCAGTGCTGCTGAGCGGACGAGGCAGATTCCTCCGAGGCTCTTTGTCATTCTCTATGAGGGATGAAGCGGATCATGGGCGATTCAGGTGCCACGTGGGGTGACACGTGATGAGGCCACGGAGTGGGCAATCACACCCTCGCACGGTTTAGTGGGGCTTCAAGGAAACGAGACACCCACAGCGTGCTTTGTAAACTGTGAGGTGCTTGGAGTTAGAGCAGCTCCCTGTCCTTTTCTGCCTGTCCCTGGACCCTAATGGGCTCCCACCTCCACAGGGCCTCTGAGCTGCTGCCCACAGGGTCCGCAGTGCCCGGCAGGGGTTGCATTAGAAGCGTGGGTCTCTGCCCTGGGGTACCTGCTGGCAGAGGCGTGGGTGACCACAATGTATCTGTCTGACCCTGGCTTTCTTGGTTTCTTTTCAGACTCTGCTTTCGGCTAAGCACATTGTCATCGCTACTGGAGGGAGACCGAAGTACCCCACGCACGTGAGTGTCCTCGAACACAGCCTTCCCTGCCGCCCTGGGCAAGTTCATGGTCTCTGGGCTCATGTGATATACTGTTTACTGTGCTCATGCTTCCCGCCCCAGCAGCACCCCCACTCTTCCTCTTCTTTAAAAAAGGTTTTTGCGTGCTCACTATCGTTACTTTCTATTTTCCAATTCTTCCTTGAATCCACTCTGCTGACTCAGGTCACCAGGACCCCCACACTGCTGAATCCTAAGAGCCATTCTCAAGTCATTCTTAAAAAAAAAAAAAAAATAGTTTTTATTGATTTTAGAGAGAGAGGAAGGGAGAGGGATAGAGAAATGGAAACATTGATGAAAGAGAAACATCAATTGGCTGCTTCCTGCATGCCCCCTACTGGGGATCAGCCCGCAATCTGGGATAGAACTGGGAGCCCTCTTGGTTCCTGGGTCGATGCTCAATCACTGAGCAACATCTGGGAACCACCAGACCTATTCTCCTGTATCTCAGCGCCACTTGTTCTGTCTCCTTTGTTGGTTCTTCCTTTTCTCTTCAGCCTCAGAACATTGGAACATCCAGGACTTAGACCTTGTTCTTCCTCCTCCAAACCCAAATCTTTTTTTTTTAATTGACAAAATTCACATACCATAAAATGTACCCTTTTAAAGGATACAATTCAGTGGCTATTTCACAGAGTTGTGCAACCATCAATCACCACTACTTAATTTCAGAACATTTTCATCACCCAAAAATGAATCCCCAGACCCCTTAGCAGTCACGCCCCATTCCCTGCTTCCCCAGCCCCTGGCAACCACTGGCCTGCTGTCTGTCTTTATGGACATGTCACATAAATGGAATCACGCACGGTGTGGCCTTTGTGACTGGCTTGTGCACTTGGCATAACACCTTCAGGGTTCGTTCGTGGTGCAGCCTGTATCAGAACTTCATTTCCTTTTATGACGAATAATATTGCATTGTATGTGTGTGTCCGGTTTGGTTTATGCCCTTGTCCATTGATGGACACCTGGGTTGTTTCCACTTTTAGCTTTTACAAATCGTGCTGCTGTGAACATCTGCGTAGGAGTTTCTCTGTGGACTTAAGTTTTCACTTCTTTTGGAGATATATATATATATATATATATATATATATATATATATATATATATCTACCTGCCTTGGAGTGGAGTTGCTGGGTCATATTAACTCTATGTGTAACCTCCTGAGGAATTGCCGGGCTGTTTTCCAAAGCAGCTACACCATTTCATATTCCTACCAGCAGTGTGTGAAGGTCATACTTTCTTCTTTGCTTGTCTCATAGTTTTTTGTTGATAACGGAACTTTTCATTCTTAAATATATTTTTATTAATTTCAGAGAGGAAGGGAGAGGGAGAGATAGACACATCAATGATGAGAGAGAATCATTGATTGGCTGCCTCCTGCACACCCCACACTGGGGATTGAGCCTGCAACTCGGGCATGTGCCCTGACTGGGAATCAAACCGTGACCTCCTGGTTCATACGTCCATGCTCAACCACTGAGCGACACCAGCCAGGCAATAACAGAACTTTTCCAAATTAAATAATACGTTAACTCTGGGAATCAGAGTCTCTCTCCACTGTAGGATTTTGTGTATTGCTGTTGGATGATTTTTCTGAACTGATTTTGTAAAGTCTTTATTCTTCGTTGTGTGAGGCCACTGAATTCTCTGCTCAGTTAGCTTAGTGGTCAGCTAACGACGGAGATTTCCTTAAACACCTGGAACCAAGAAATCTCCCGTCTTTGCCGAGGGCCCGTGGGCATTTTGAGGCATTCCTCCGACACTGAGCCAGGCACGAGGAGCTGCCTTAGCCCTCACTTCCTGGTGGGGCAGAGCCCGAGGTCAGCCAGAGGCTGAGAGCTCAGTGCCATTTCAGGCCTTTCCCAGGCATGTGCGCAGCCCAATGCCGACGCCTGGCCACCTAGATCCCAGGAACACGCTGGAGCGTTTGAAAGCCCCAGTGGACCTCTCCGGCCCCAGCTTTTCCTTTTCCGCTTTTGGTCCGGCTGTTGTGTGCATCCGTTGTTATCCATCACCGGAGGCAGCCGTGATGTTCGGTCACTGGGCAAATCCTCCCCAGGGAGAGGCTTTCGGCGCTGGGCGAGGTCAGGGGAGGTCAGAGGAAGACCAGCCTATGGAGTGGGGTCTCTCAGGGAGCCCCCGGCAAGGCCTGCCGATGGCTGCTTCGTTCTGCTCTCTCCGTGCTGTCATTTTTCAAGGCTGCCACTGAGCTGGGGGATGGGACTAGCGTACATGAAAACTCCACAGAACTTACCGTTCTTACCAAGTTCCAGCCATTTTTCTTGACTTAATGTTCCCTGTGTTGCCACAAGCCGTCGGTTAACTTCCGGAGTTAGGAAAAAGTCGAATCTGGTCGCTTTTGCCGGTTCTTTTGCTGTTTTTATGGAGGGGTGGACCTCGGGAGGCCCTCAGTCCACACCCTGTTCGCTGACGTCACCTCCTGACCCCGTCTTACGGGGGGCTTCTCTGTCCTCCCTGCTACCAGGAAGGTGAGCTGAGGAAGAGGCCCCAGGTGGGGTGAGGCAGAAGGGGAAGCAGGAAGGGAGGACAGAGGGGTTTGGTTGAGCCACATCCTCAAGGGTCTCTCGGGGTCCCCGGGAAGTGGGTGCTGCAAGCCCTGCGCCTCCACATGGGCCGCAGCAAAGGGCACAGGCCCACAGGCGACACGAGCCTGAGGACTCCTGCCTCCTACCGAGACCCAGATGGAGCATGGACGGAAGACAAGGACTGGTCCTGTTTCCTCGCAGACACCTAAACCCCGAACCTCCAGCTTCTGTTTTGTGCTTTTTCTGGAAATGGGGCACCGAGGAAAAAGCACACCTCTGTCCTCCGAGACCACTGGGCCTTCCCTTCAGCTGTCGGGCCAGCAGCAGCAGCCTCGGGGCGGGGGGAAGCTTGTGCTCAGGGCTGGGCCTGGGCAGGCTGCTTGGCTCTGAAGGCTGGCAGGGTGACTGTTAGTGACCCCTCGCCCAGCCTACAGCCCCAGGAGCCGGATAGTCATCTCAGCTCCTTTGAGGCCCCGGGCGGAGCTCACGCAGCCCCACACCAGGGTGCCCTATGGAGGGCGCTGGCCTGGCTCCACCCTGCTGGACCTCGGCGGGGCAGCTGCCGATGTCTCTGTTTGCCCAGAGGGAGATGAGGCAGGAGCTGCGGGTCCTAGTCCTGGCTGTCCTGTTCTCTGACACCTCATCTGGGATGACCCTGCCGCCCACTCCCCTGGGTGCCTGCCAAGACTTGCTTGTGTTTCACTCCCTTTGATTTTCAGACCTTTCGGTTTCCCTTCAGCAAACCCAAGAAATCCCTGGCTTTATTTTTTTTGCCAGTTGGAATCATAAACTGTTTGAAATCCATTTCCTCTCCACCAGCACATCTTACTCCCACAGGCCTGAGGGAGTGCTCGCCTGGTGTCTTTTTTTTTTTTTTTTTAGTATTCTTTTAAAAATATATATTATTGACTTTTTACAGAGAGTAAGGGAGAGGGATAGAGAGTTAGAAACATCGATGAGAGACATCGATCAGCTGCCTCCTGCACACCCCTTACTGGGGATGTGCCCGCAACCCAGGTACATGCCCTTGACCAGAATTGAACCTGGGACCCTTCAGTCCGCAGGCCGGCCCTCTATCCACTGAGCCAAACCGGTTAGGGCTCGCCTGGTGTCTTTCCACTTGCTCAAGAGCCCCTCACCAGGCCCCGCTGGGATACAGGAGGACCCATATAATTCCTGGGCACGGCCACCTGTGCTTCCCCTCCTGGGTAGAGACCATTGGGCCTTCCCGTCCAGCCTTCAGTCTGGTGCCCTGGAAGATGGCTTGCTCCCGCACCCCTGCCTAGCTTCCCCCTCCCCTCCCCATAGCTCTGGGTCTGGAGAGAATTGGGGGTCCTGGAGAGCGGAGAGGAAAGAGCTGCTGGCCGTGCCCTGGCTCTCTGGTCACCTTGCACAGCCAAGGAGAGGCAGTGCATTCATGCTGGGCAGATGGCACACCGAGTTAGATATAGACAGGTCACCTGTCCCTAGAGGCCACAACCTGAAGAATCTGTAGAGCAGGAAAGTGCACCCACAAGTGGGCTGGGTGGGTCTGGTTGTGTTGTGTCTACAAAACGGGTGTCCCCTTTGAGGAAGTCTCTAGGACAGGTCAGATGACATCCTCTCACATTGATCCTTTTTTCTGGATAGATTGAAGGTGCTGTGGAACATGGGATTACAAGTGATGACATCTTCTGGCTGAAGGAATCCCCTGGAAAAACGTAAGACCTGATACATGCCTGAGTGGGGGGCCCCTTTGTTCATTTCTTAAACATCAGGGCTGTGTAGAATACTGTGTGGTCCTCTCTCCTAGTACATTCCTCCCACCTTCCTGAGAGGAGGACAGAAAGCTCAGTATTTGTGCCCTGATTGGCACATGTGTCACCAAGTGAATCGAATATTGTCTAGGGCAGTGGTTTTCAAACAGGGTTCCCCGGAGCCCCAGGGTTCCAGTGGGTCCTGTCAGAAACATCAGAGAGGGGAGCACTCGCTGAGGGAAAGAGGGTCAGGTCATAGGAAAAGCCCTCAGCCCCTCTGGCCTCAAACTTTTCTACTTTCACCTGGTCCGTACCTTGGACTTCCCTGAGATCTGGCAAAGAAGGTTCCAGAAACCACAGCCCCGTTGTGGAAATGAGAGCTGTGAAGCATGTGAGCGGTTTTATGTTTCCCAAGCAGGTGAAAATGCACTAAGTTCATTTCCTGCATCCACAGAGCTGTTCTAGGTCCATAGAGCTCCTGCCTGTAGGTTATGGAGGGGACTTCATGCTCGGGCCAACCAAAAAGGCCACCAGAGGGCGACAGAGGCCTGGTTGTGAGCAGCACTGGGCTGCCTTGGGACTTGCCTACGAGGAAATGTGGGTGGAAAAATGTGTCCAGAGGTGGACAGGCATGTGTGCACAAGCATAGATGTGAGGCGTGTGTGTGTGTGTTGTGTACATGGGGAGTGTGTGCATGTCATGGTGCTCTGCTCACCACCATCATTTCCTGTTCACCAAGCATCTTTGTTCAGGGAAAGGCTGGATTCCCTTGAATGGATATATTGTAATTTATTTTATCTTTTCACGGTTCTGGAGCATCTCAGTAGTTTCTCTTTTTCATTGTTATAACATGTTGCAATGGGACCTTTGGTGTTTTTCATTGTTATAAAATGTTGCAATGGAAACCTTTGGTGTGCATCTTATATACCATCATAAATACTACTACTTCTTCTTTTTTTTGGTTAATCCTCACCTGAGAATATTTTCCCATTGATTTTTAGAGAGAGTGGAAGAGAAGGGGAGAGGCAGAGAGAGAGAGACAACGATTGGTTGCTTCCTCATGCGCCCCAACCAGGGCTGAGGACTGACCCTGCAACCAAGGTATGTGCCCTTGACCAGAATTGAACCTGGGACACTCGATCCGCTGAGCCAAACTGCCCGGGGCATAAGTGCTTCTTATGTGTAACATATACCTGAGGGTGTCTCACAAGTAGAAACCTGAGGTCCAAGGCAGATGCCCTTCACACCTTCACACATCTGCTGACATGCTCCCTCCTGGCAGGCTGCTCCCTGTTCTACCTCCTCATGTGGGCACCAGCTTTTCCATTGGCATAAAAATGAAAGGGGCCTCTCCTGCCCCCATCAGGGGAGCACCAGTGGCTTCTGCCCGAGGCACGTCTGGGTCCCTCCCAGCATCTGCGCTCAGGCTCATGCAGGTTTGTGTCCCTCTGTCCATCACCTTCCACAAGCACCCCCAGGCTGTTTGTCTTTTGACTTAAAGGTAGTTTTTCATGCAGAAATTTTTAATGTTTGTGTTGTCACATTTATTCCTTTTTTCTCTTTATGCATAATTTCTGGGTTTCTGTTCTTTTATCTTGGACTATCCAATAGGTTAAACGTGACCTGGTTTTATTTGCATCTGCTATGATTATTAATCTTTTTGTGTATCGGCCATTTAAAATGGAGTATCTGTATGTGAGTTTGTGTGTGAATGTCCGTGTGCCTGCGCGCGTGTGTGAATTGTTAGCTTGGTCCTTGGCCTGCTTTCTATCTGGTTTTCTTTTTCTTCTCTTATCTCTTATCTTCCAGCTGGTTTGCATATTAGGACTGTGATCCCATGTCGTTTATGTTGCAGGCTTTCTCAGCTTGTCATGTCTTTTAACTTGTGCAATGTACAAATGTTTTTTTTAATGTAACTTAGATCTCTTTTTACACTTAATGGCTTTTAGATTTATTGCATGTTCAGGAAGGCCTTCCCTACCCCCAAGATTTTTTTTTTTCCTTAAAAAAAAAAAAAGCTTCTGTATTTTCCCTTAGGGCTTCCACCCTTCGGCTTTGCCTTTGTGTCCGGGGTGTTTGCAATTCATCTGTGGTGTGGTGGGGTGGTGACCAGGCTGCTGGAGTCCAGCATAGCTGGCTGCTCAGCCCCTCAGGCCAATCTGAAAGCTCCATCCAGGAGTTGAGTCCCTGCCCTGCCCTGGCTCTCAGCTCCGCTTTTCCTGTGGCATTGGCGAGAGTGCCTGGCATCAGAGGGGTAAGGTGGGGGGCCCGGGTGCAGTGGGTACCGGCAGCAAGCGGCGAGGTGGTCCTGGCTTGCACTGCTCCTCTGTGGCCATGTGCTGGGGCCGTGGCCCATTCGGCCAGGAAGACACGGCCCCAGATACTTTGGTCGGGAAAGAAACTGTAGTGTTTATTTTCTTCAGAAAAGAAAAAAAAATTTAGAAGATTTTTTTTTAAACAAGCTCTTTCGTTTAGAAGGAATCTAGGTATGTTATTGTTTAAGAAAAAAAGTGTTTGCAATGTATCAGTCACCCGTTTCGTTCTGAGCATGATTTATGTGAGGAAATGGTTTTTTTAAAAAATTAAGCTGGAGATATATCCCTGTACGATGCTTCTGTGAAAATGCAGCTTTTGTCCGGTGCTGTTAATGCAAGTTGTAACAGTGTGATATGGGAGTCAGTGTTTACATGTTACATTCCTCCGTGCAGTCAAAATAAGCCCGCAGGGTCTACAGTAGCATTTCTGTATTTTATCAGCTTGGGCTGGGGCTGAGGGGGAGGCCTCTGCTCACACTTGGAGGGGCTGTTTCTGCCAGATTTATTTGCCTTATAAATATTCCCCGTGTTTATTTTAACTCGCCTTTAAAATGGAGCTGAAATTAATATGGACCTGAGGGCTGCCCCCTGGCCCCAAGTGCCTCCCGTCACCGGGCGGGACGTTTCTACTCACCCCCATCAAGGAGGCCAAGCTGGTGGCCGAGGGTGCCCGATGCGCCTGGCCTCCCCCTGCAGCGGGTACTCTGTCCTCTGAACGGCGCCCCAAGGCCAGTTGGAGGCTTTGGGTGACACGCCAGGCCCCAGCTTTCTCATGGGTTCTGCTGCGTATGCGGGCCCCCCCCTCTTCTCTTCCTGTGATGGGGCCTGGGCAGCAGAGACCTTCTGCCATGGCGAACAGTGACCAGTAGCTCCAGATCTGGTACGTGGAGCCCACGGTGGGCCTGTGGCTTTCAGCCTCTTGCGTTTGCTCTGCCACCTTTGTTGCTCTTTGGACCCCCACAGCCTCAGTGCTGTCTTAGCCTCCTGGGCATGGGAGGAGACCCTTTCGTCCTTTGCTTGTGTCCAGGTCTGAGGAGCCCAGGGCTAATAGATGGCAGAGGGGGTGGCCCAGCCCAGGCCCAGTCGGAAAACAGAGTCAACACCCTCACTACACAGCGGGGTACCCGATTTGGACCTCCTGGAGGTGACACATCCCGTGTAGAGGACTCCAGTAAGTGCAGCATGAGTTCCCGAGTTCACGGGCAGGACCTTCGGAGGCCAGGCAGGCTGGGCCAGCACGTGCGGGGCCTGAGGCAGGCTGTACAGGTTGGCATCCTCAGCTCTGCCGCCTGAATGCCAGCTTTGTGTCCGGCTTGTGTGCCTTTTCCATTATTCTTGTTTCTTTCTCGCTCTCTCTTTTTTAAAAATATATTTGTATTGATTTCAGAGAAAAAGGAAGAGAGAGTGAGAGATAGAAACATCAATGATGAGAGAGAATCATTGATCGGCTGCCTCCTGCAAGCCCCCTACTGGGGATCAAGCCCACAACCCAGGCATGTGCCCTTGACTAGGATCGAACCTGGGATCCTTCAGTCCATAGGCTGATGCTCTACCCACTGAACCAAACTGGTTAGGGCCTTATTTCTTTATTTTTGTGTGGAAATGCAGGATGGGTTGAAGATGTGTGGGTGATTCTGGAGGAAGGAAGGTGTCCTCTGGGCTGGCAGGGGAATAATGGCCGCTTTGGGGAGCTGTCCCTAACCAGTGGAGGAAGTAGGGGCACAGAGGGGGTGTCCAGCCCTGCCTAGGGAGGCCCAAGTCCTGCATGGCCCTTCATTCAGCTGGGCAACCCCCGGGCAGGTGGAGGGAACATGGAAGGGGAGAAAGGGGCCCACTCCCGACAGCTCCTGGAAGGATGCAGGTCCTGGGGTTTCTAGACCCAAGTGCCCCCGAGGCAGCTGGGTTCCACCTTGATCCACGGCCCCAGGATGTTTGCTTGCTCACACGGAGGGCCCTCTCCCCTGAGAGGCCTTTTGGCCCCAGGCAGCCTGGTTGGGACTTGGGCCCAGCACCAACCTGCTCAGGCCCACCTACGTGTTGCAACTGTTGGCATGCCTTAAGGGTAGGCAATCAGGGTCACTGTACTCAACCCCCTGGGCTTCCTGGCCCAGCTGCTCAGCCCTGCTGCCTGGGGCTCGCTCTGGACTTGAGGTCAGCTCTCTGCAGACCTGGCTCTGAGTGAGAGCTCTCGGCTGACGTCAGTGCCAGAACTTTCTCTAATGGCCAAGAGGACTTGAATGAGGCCGGAGCCACCTGGGACGGCTCTTCTCCCATGTGGGACCCACCAGGCAGCAGAATTGCCACGTCAAGGTGGGACCCAGGACCCTGTGTTCCCACTGCCACTCGGCCGCCTAGGTCTCCTGGAGTGTCTGCAGAGGGAGGCGCTGGCCGGCCTGTCCCGCATGGCCCAGCTCGCTTGCCAGCCGGACTGTGCGCGGCCCTGCGGCTGCTCCACAGCCTGACCTCTGTCCTTGGGCCCCAGCGAGCGTGAAGCAGGGAGTTTGTGACTTGGGCTGCCTGTCAGAGGAGGCCGTGGCAGGAGCTTTTGTGTGACCCTTGTTGAGTTAGAAGCTGATTAGGTACTGTAACCGCTTTTCCCTCTTCCTAAGAGCAGGAGAGAAGAATGTAAATCTTATTTTGCGAAGCACCACAGCCATTAATTTAGGAAAATTCACTGCAGCTTCATTTTTCATTTTCTGCCCGACTTCCATATTCCTTTAGCGTGACATCCTCACATCCAGAAAGGGAGGTGAGCCAGCAGCTTGGACCTGGCTACCGGCTGTACAGCACTGCTGACCACCTCCCTGCGTGTCCCTGGGACTAAGTCGTGGAGGCCTCAGGGGCTGGGGAGACGCCGCCTCAGGGCGGCAGTAGTTGTGGGGCCAGCGCCCGAGGTGGCATCCGTCATGGGGCCAGAATGTAGAGATCTGCGCCTAGTGGAAGTGGGCCCAGCAACAGGCCCTGAGGGTGGGAGGGGGCTGGCCCACACGGGGGGAGGAGGCCTTGGGTCCCCCGCCCCCTGTGCTGCTTCCCTGGGGCCTGCTTGGCATTTCCTGCGCTGGCAGGACTGCCAAGGGGCCAGGTGCCTGCCGCGAGGCCCTCACTTTGTGTGGGTATTCCCCTTGGGGAGCAGAGCAGGGGCCTTCAAACTCGAGAGGCAGGTGGAGAGCTCTTTAAGCCAGGGCTTCCCGGGCCTGAATTAAGGCTTTTGTTTCTGTTTCCCCCCATTCAGATCTTGAACAAGAAAGCCTGCCCTGTGATTAGGCTAATCCCGCTGTAGCTACACCTTCGTGTAAAATGTTTGCACACCGAAAGGCACAGAGAGTAGGACTGCTCAGAGCACAGGGAAATGGAATCGGGGCCTCCAAGGACAGGTGGTGACTTCTGGCGTGGGCTGATGGCCCAGTCCTGGGCCTCCTAATGCAGAGATAGGCAAGTTTCCAGCCCTCAGAAGCTTACTCCTCCCTCCCCCAGGTGCAACAAGCTGGCCCCCGACTTCTTCTGCTGGCACTGCTGTCCTCCCATGGCCAGCCAGGCCAGTGTTGGTCACTGTGACGCAGCACCCAGGCTCAGCCCCATCATCCTCAGGCCCCTATCCAGGCCGAGCATGTCCTCAGTGGCCAGTGGAAGCTGGTCTGCAGTTTCAAACTTACCAATAAAAATGAGATGGCCCCCTGCCTCCTGGCACTCTCCCCACTCATGACCTGGAGGCTCCACTTTTGCTCCATCTCTTTCTTACTTGAGTCCATTCGAAGGGGTTCCCTGGCCGAGTTCTCGGATCCTTCATTCTTCAAAGAATAAGCATTATTTGATAAATTGGGATGCCGGGTAGAGTGAGAACCAAGATGTTTGATAATCCTGCCTTGTGAAGGCAGGAAGAGGCCCAGAGCCGCCCTCGGCACCTGTGGGAGGCCTGCTTTTGTTTGTGGGATTTCAGCTGCCCACATTTGGTCAAGGACAACCCCTTCGGAAAGGCCTGCCTGGCTCCTGCCTCCTCCCAAATATGCCCCCTGTTGGCGACTCAGAGCTGGTGGCCCTGGGGTTGGGGGCACTGTGACTTTGAGGTGGGAGTGGGAGGCCCAGTGCACTGAGGGGTGTCTGTGGGGGGAGCTGGGAGTCAGCGCCTGCCTGCCCCATCTCTCCATCCAACCCCCCATCTTTAGTGCAGGAGGGTAGGGAGGAATGCGGGGGCTGCAGAAACATAATGTGTTTGCCCAGATCAGGAGACCACGTGGCTGTGTTGTATACAATGTGGCATGAGGGCCTGGAGCTGTCCTGTAGGCCACAGGCTGTGGACAGTCCACTCCGCAGGACGGCCCACTTTTACAGAGACAGGAAGGCTCGGAGATGAGCAGGGCAGGCCATTTGGAGGACAGAGGGGTTGCCCTGGCGGTCAGCACACGCCACTGCTGCCACTGGAAGCGGGGGGCAAAGTGCACTCGCTGTGTTGTATGGTCAGCATTGATGCTCTGGCTCAGCTTTGTTCTTGTGTTTGGGGCAGGGTAGCTAAAATCTGTTTGTATCGTAATTTCATATCTTACAGAAAAGCTTATACCTTTCACCATATACATCAAGTCCCAAAAAAAAGTTAGGTCTTTTGTAGTTTTGAAAACGTGCCTATGCATAGACATCTAGGTGACACCACACGGGTGCAGGAGTCCCCTCGGCTTCCCCGTGCACTGAGCTCGCTGCAGTCTCCCAAGCGTGACTCCGTGGCTCTCTCCAGCTCCCGAGAGGAAGCCATGTGCCAGTTGCTTCTCTCAGGGCACCTGAAGGAGTGTTCCCTGGGATCCGCCACTTCTTGAAATGGAATTATATCATTAGTACCTGGCGGGATTAGAGCTGACATTAGGCTTAGCCATCCTTACATCACCTCCTCTTGTTCAAAGGCTGAAGCAGTGATCTGACAAGCCCACCCACACATCGCCTCCCAGGCTGGGAGTTTTCATTCTGCGTTAGGTTCCGTGCACGCGTGCATGTGTGAGCATGCGTGCAAGTGTGTATGTGTGTGCATGCCAAGCGTGGAGCTGAACTGCGGGAGAGCGTTTATACTACTGTGGCAGGTACTTTAAACGAGTCTGCTGGGTCCCTATGTCCTGTGTCTGCCTCTTCTCCCAAGCACCCTTCTCCTTGCTCAGAGACGCTGTCTTTCCAGGCCCTGGGCCGGCGTGTGCTGGGGCTGGACAGACAGGTGTCAGCCTCCCGGCCTGGCCTTCCCTGGTCAAGAGTTCTGCCCATAGACAATGCTTTCCAGGAGCCCCCACCCACTGTGTGGTGCCCTCCCCATTCTGCAAAGTGTCCTTGTTTCCACCCTGGCTGCAGGAGGTCCAGAGAGACCCCAAGGCAGGGCTAACCTGAGGAAGAAGGAAAATCCTTCTGCTTCCTCGAACTTTCCCAACAGGTCCCTGGGGCCATGTGGTCCCACTTCCAGGGCCTTTCATGGGATATGTGCTGTTTTGTCACTGGCCACTCACATCCTTCACCACCAGGCAATTTTCTGATCCAATGACACTGTTTGTCATGTTGAATTTCCCACCTGCAGCCTCTGGGAAGTGGGTTTTGTACCTTGGGACAAGCTGTTTGAACACTCGGCCTCAGCTGACTCGCCCGCAGTCACACATCAGCTGACTGAGTGCCTTGCACGGAGGCTGAAGAGCCCTGTCCCCATGGCACAGCCCCTCCTTGGAGCAGCTGCCTGTGTGTGACGGTGGGCTGCGTGTGAGACTCACTTCTGCTCTTCTTCTCTGTGTTCATTCCTAACAGGTTGGTGGTTGGAGCCAGCTGTATCCTTTGATGGCGTGCAGGAGACCAAGGGCCGTGCCTGCGTCCTGAGGGGGGAAGCTCCATGCCCAGAGCCCTCCCACTGCTCTCCCTCTGCCCGGGAGTACACTCCGCTGCCTGGAAGCAGGCACTTACAGGGCCACTCAGGGTGGATGACCTGTGCTCAGGGGACAATTTTAGGCTGACCTTTGAGTCTAGGGCTTCCGGAGGCTGTTCCTGAGCCACACACTGAGCAGCTGAGGCAGCTGGGCCAGCTGGGCACAGCCGTGAGGCAGGTGATCCTCCCTGGAGAGCAGCCCCACTCACTCAGGTCCGTTCCTTTAGAGGGAGCCGCAGACCAGGGGGGTCAGGAGAGGAGCCACAGGAGGCCCTGGGGTCAGGAAGGGGGTCATTCCGGGAGATGAAAGTGCTGGGGCTGCCAGCCGAGAACACAGGCCAGAAGCTGCTGCCTTGTGTCTTTCATGGACGGGGCGTTTCCACTCCATCACCACTTGGACCCCACAGAGTGGGCCTCATCCTAAAGGCTGAGATGAAACTCTGGGGAGTCTGGACAGATGCCCCGTGGAGGCAGAAGCCACCCGGCCTGTAGGTGCTGGAGGGAGCCCCTCCTCTGTCCCCCACATTTGAGAGATGGGGGAGGGGTGCTCTGCGGCTGGCGTTGGAAGACTCCTTTGGGCCGGCTGGGGACTAGTGGGAAGTGGGCTGTGGTGTCGGGCCCTGGGGATCTTGCCACGTGGCTCCCGATGTCATGATGGCAGCGAGCACTCCTTAGCTTGTCTCTGGCAGACGTGGCCCTGGAGTGCGCCGGCTTCCTCACCGGCCTGGGACTGGACACCACCGTCATGATGCGCAGCATCCCTCTGCGGGGCTTTGACCAGGTACAGCCCAGGCCCAGCTCCCACCCTGTGGTCTGCTCCCACCAGCCTGTGGCCCCAGCCCAGGCAGGCACAGGTGTGGGCTGGGAGCCTCTCAAGTGTGTGGCCCTTGAGTTGAATGAGGAGGTTGTTCATAAAACATAAAACACCTGCCAGGGTGGAAGCAGGGCTGTCATGTAGAGCGCGTGGCAGCTCTGGGCGTGCCGGGCCAGCCTCGCAGACCTCGGCTGTTCCATCAGCAGGTGTATGTCAGCAGAGGTGCTAGCCCCGCCTCCTTGCTGGGGTCTGATGGGGGTGCCCCCTCAGCAAGGGGAGCACCAGGCAAGGAAGCAGGTGGCAGACTGGCGAGGCCCTGGGTGGCCACTTCAGAAGATAGCAGCTCCTGGCCACCTGCCATAGACTGAAAGACGGGACCCGCGAGCCCTGACGAGCACTCGGTTCCCCGGCCGTGGACAGTCCACCCTGAGCACTCGGAGCATCAGTATGGCTTCTGAGGCCTCATCGCTCACATGCCTTGTACAGGGGCAGTGCCAGCTGAATGCACAGTGAGCCTGTGTGCCCACCCCTGACCGCTGTGTGGCAGGAGCCAGAGGGCCATCTCACCTGTGCAGGTTGTCCTCACGAGGGTCTGGGACGCAGACACCCGTGCCGATGGCAGATGCACCCATGTGAACAGCGTGTTGAATGTTTTTAACTAAAAACTCTCCAAGGAAAGGTCACCTGTTAAAATCCAAGCGTGGGGTTGTTATGATGGCAAACCCCCCGTGCCTCCCCAAAGAAGATAGACAGCCCCTCATCACACAGTCCCACTGGCCCTCAGTCCACCCTCCGCTCCTGGGCCTGTCCTGCTCGGTGGTGCAGAGACTTGCCTGCCATGGAGGGCCCTCCATGTGCGCAGAGGCCCCGAGTGCCTGCTGTGGGGACAGGCCTCTGAGCCCCGGGCCATGGGGAGAATGTACCAGGCAGCAGACAGGAGCCACGAGGAGGCCACATGGAGGAGGCAGCAGAAATGAGGCAGGAGAGGCAGAGGGGACTGCGGGATCAGGGCTGCGGGAGGGCTGGCCTTGGCACTGAATGGAGGCAGAAGCTGGAGACAGTGGGAAGGGGAGCAGTTCCCAGAGAGGGGCCAATGGAGGGAAGGAGAAGAGGCTGGATCAGGCCTCCCGAGGGGCTGGAGTGAGCAAAGCTGAGCAGGAGGCAGCACAGCAGGGGAGGCGGTCTGATGCCTGGGCACAGTCCCACTTGGAGGCAATGGGATCACCCAGGGAGGGCCGGGAGGGGAGGGAGCAGGCTCCAGGTGTGCCCCGGGGGAAGGACAATGGCAAGGCCAGGCGGCCATGGCCGTGCTTCAGCAAGAAGAGTCTGTCAGAGCTCTTCATGCAGCTCCAGGGGCAGGCCTGGGGACAGTGGACCTGCACTTAGCTCAAGGGGGCCGGCAATTCCCCTCAGACGGCGACAGGGATGTCCAGGCGACCAGGAGTCCCGAGGGCTCCAGGAAGGGCAGGCAGCCCCCTTGCCTGCTCCTGTGACGGGTGCGACAATCCCAGAGAGGCAGGGCTTCTCCTGGTGTCCGCGTCCCTAAGTGAGCTGGTGCATCTGAGCGGACAGCAGAGCATTTAAATTGACTTACTTTCTCCTGAAGAAGGAAGCTGTGGCTGACCGCGCCTTGGTGACAAGTCCCACGGTGGCTCCGGAACTAGGATCCCCGTCCGCAGCCTGGGAGCGCGGGCTGAGAGCAAGGAGCCCTCTCTATAGATGACTCGCCCCCCAGCAACACCCACTACCCCTGCGTTTCTTGGTGGGGAACTGAGGGGCCCACCTACTGGCCCAGCTCCCTGCTCCATGAGCGAGGGTGGGGAGCCCCCAGGAGAAAGGGGTGCTTCTCTGCCATTACTTTCAGTGGAGACAGTTAATTAGCATCTACAGAGCCCAGAGGTCAAGTGCATCCTAACTGAATGGCTCAGGGGTCTCTGGTTTAGAGCTGGGGGCTGGGGAAGGGGGTGCCCGATGGTCTCCTGGCTCTTCTTTCAGTTCCACAGAGAACAAGGGGGCCTGAAGGTGGGGGTGGTCTGCATGGGGCCACGTAGAAGAAGGGGGCCCTGAACCCTCTCTTTGGAAGAGACCCCTCTTACCCCCACCTCAGGGCCTTTGCAAGGAGGCAGGCGGCTAGGTCCTCCCTTCCTGCTCAGTCATCAGTAGTGACATTTTCACTGCCACCTGGTCCTCATAGCATTTTCCTCTGGGCTTTGCAGCAAATGTCAACCTTGGTCACGGACTACATGGCTTCTCACGGAACCAGGTTTCTGAAGGGCTGCATCCCCTTGAGAGTGAAGAGGCTCCCGGACAACCAGCTTCAGGTCACCTGGAAGGACGTCGCCTCTGGCAGGGAGGGCATGGACACCTTCAACACCGTCCTGTGGGCCATAGGTAAGGTGTGTGAGCCACGCGTGCGTGTGCAAGAGTGCACACACGTGGAGAGCGTGGCACCGCTTCCCCCTTCCACTGCCTCCAGGAGCTCCCTCACCCTCTGGCTCTTAGGCGGGTTGGCGCTACAATGCACCTCTTGGGCCATCGTAAAGACTTGCGGGATTGCTCCTGATAAACTTCCCAGTGGGCTGCTGGGCGCTCTGTAGGTCATCACATGCTACGGGGGGGGGGGGGGGGGGGGCATTTCCAGAAGTCACACTGCAGATTTCCAAAGACAGCATCCAGTGACAGGACAGAGCCCTGAGGCCTTTTCCGGCCAGGCATGGGCTGTGTTCTCATCCTCCAGTGCTCTGAGAGGCCTCGGAGCAGCTGTTGGCAGGGCAAAGGCTGGGCAAGTGTGGCTGCTCAGAACTCGCCCATTGCCCACCTTGCCAGACACTCCCTCCCAGGGGGCCCTCCCTGCACTCCTAGGCCACCCCCGAGGAGGAGGGTGCAGAGTGTGGGTGTGGTGGGGGAAGATCCTTGCCCAGGGCCTGGACCTGGGCTGGACTCAGGAGGGGAATGGGCTTTGAGGAAAGGCCTGGAGCTGGGTAGGGAGAACAAGGGGCCCAGACACCATGCCCTCGGGAGCTGGTCTCTGCTGGGACGCTCTTGCTGTGGCTTCTGGGGTTAGAGCCGTTTTCCTCATCACCCGCCAACTTGCATGTTAAATCGGGGTCTTGCTCACCCTTGATGTTTTCAGTGTGAGGGGTTTTCTCCGCCTGGTCAGTTGTCCTCTTCGGTGAACGTGGGCTGGAAATCCATGTGGCTAACAGGATTGTCATCGGGCTTATGCCCATGAAGCGCGTGGGTACCGAGCGTTCAGAGGGCGTCCGGTCGGTGCTGGCTAAGACCTGGTGGCTCGGTTCCTGTGCACCTTGAGGAGCAGGTTTGCATCACAGAGGGGATTTCTGAAAAGCCTGTTCTCCGACTTGCTCAGAGTGATCGGAAATCACAAGGGGAGCTGAACTCCAGAGGAGTCAGCTCTTCACTTTGGTGGTCAACATGAGCAGATCTGAGGAACAAGGAGAAGGATCGGAATTGCCCCAGAGCGAATTTAGTGCCTCTTCATCAAACTTCAGTAAATTACCAAGGGAAATATTCTTGATCCAATTGTAAAAGTAAACTTTAGGTAGGTTTATGCTGATGAACACTGAAAGATTGTTTAACTGTTCAGACCCAGAAAGGTAAATTGACCTTTAATATCTTAACTCCGCTCTAAACTCGGAGGCGCATGTTTCTCTCTCCCGTTTGTACCCCAGCACTAGCCCTGCGTCTTCTGACGTCTCTGTGCCCCCACCTCCCTGGGCTCCACCTTTGCACCGAGGCGCAAGCCTGTACCCAGCACTACCTGCTGAGGCCATGCTGATGGCAGCAGCTCAGAGGGCAAGGGTCTGTGCCCTCGGAAAGCTTTAGGGTCGCCCAGCTCCCAGACGGGGCCTGGTGGATGACAAGCTAGGCCCCCCAACATGCATGCCTGCCCTCCCCCACCAGGAGCTCATTTTATTTTTTGTGTTTTCAAAAAGAGCATCCCCAGACAGTCTGCCCGGCGTGATTGATGCTGGGGGTGTAAGCTTTTCACAGCCCTTGGCCTTTGACCTTGCTTCCCCAGGCGGCGCTGCGGAGGCGGCGGTTTCTGGCACGCCTTCTGGGGCTGCACGGGCATGTGCTGACTTTGCTGCTCGCTCCTGGGCCAGGTTTTGTAAACATCAGGAGCTACTTCCCAGTTGAACGACTGGGAATGTTTTCTGCCGGTTTACTCCTGTAAGCCTTTAACCAAAGCTCTATTTCTACTCGCAATAAAGGATGATCCGATCCAGGAGGTTAAAATAAAACGCCCTGGGGGCCACACAGCTGGTGCAACAGAGCTCTTGGACCGGACATCCCGCCCCAGCAGTGAGCTGGGCTTTGACATCAGTTAAAAACAGAAAAGGGAAGGATGCCCCTCATGTCCCATGGACACACGCAGAGGGCTGCCAGGAGCTCCAGTGGGGCTGAGTGCCGGCCTAGCCCGGATGCCCATGTGCCTGATGCCTGGGCCACAGCTGGCGAGGACAGTGCATGCAGGGATGGCAAAGTCAGCCCTGCAGTCTGGAAGCCAAGGAGGACTCTGAGCCTCTTCCTCCGAGCAGCCTTGATCTCCACGTGGTGGATTAAACACATTAGCAGTTAAAGCAGTTAATTGCTGTGCAGGGGGCCCTCTCATTGTTTGTCTCTGAATCACCCACCCACACCAGGTGTCTCAGATAATAGACTGGGAACTCGCAGCGAGGAGGATTTCCTGTCTGCAGATGTGCCGATTACAGTGCTGAGTGAAGACAGTCAGCCTGTGCTGCCGGCTCGAATTCGCCCTGCACAGTTAACCAGTTGTGGCCTGAATCCTCGCTGTCTGGGGGAGCAGGAGCAGGACGAGTTGTCAGGAGTGGACACTTCGAGCGTCAATGCTTCTAGGCTGGTGGTCAGCTTTAGTTTAGCTTAGGTTTTATTTCAAAGTGCGGACGAAAGGGGTTTGGACTGCAGCCTGGAAAGTCACAAGCCGAAACCCCTGCCCCTCAGCATCTCCAGCCTCTCGGGAAGATGCTGTCCTTCACTCGAGGGAAGGATGAAGGCTTTGGCACATCCATCCCGGGCCCTGGGCATTCTGCTCACTGTTGGAAGAGCCAGATGGCCGTGTTCTCAGCGCCCACAGTGCCGGGAGGGCTGTTCCAGACCTGCCTCGGGAGCCCCCAGGGTCTCCTGGGTGGGACCTGGGGAATCAGCCCTGAAGCCATTTCCTTTTCTCAGGCTCCGTCCCAGCAGAAGAGCTGTGGTTGTCCGCCTTAGGTCACTCTGAGCCGCTAAGGGGGCGTAAAAGGAGCCAGCAGGCCCTGGCGCTGAGGCACTGGGGGCCCAGCGCTCCCACTTCCATCAACCACCACATTGAGGCGCCCACCATGAGCCGCTCTTGAGTGTAGCCCACCCACACAGCATGTGTACTGGACCACGGCCAGGGGCACAGGAGGTGCCCAGGGAGCCATGATGGGGGCCCACCACGCCCAGGGAGGGGGCACATCTGTCCAGGGTGGACTTCGGCCTGGAGCTCTTCTCCCTCTGCCCCCGGGATTGTGTTCCAGGGCACATGGTAGCCGTCCGTGCTCACCTGTGCTCATCAGATGGCGCCGCCACACCACCCACACGGCTCCCAAAGTCCCTGAGGAATTTCCCCCACGGTGCCAGGCAGCAGGAGAGGGGGCAGGAGGCACAACAGAACTGAGCCCCAGGGCTGGGGATTCATGGGTGAGAGTGCTCCGAGTCCAGCTAAAAGGAAGAGGCAGTCCAGGGCTCCGGCTCCTCAAGGTCATAGATGTTGGGGAGGAACTTGTAGGCTACCCATGGATGCAACCTGGATTGGAGAGGCTTGGGTCCAAGGCCACCAGGCCTGTTCTCTGGGACCGCATCTTGCTACGGCTATAGGAAAGCACGCGTGTGGCTGTCTCCTTCCCAGAGGGGACTGTGCAGTGGCCTGGCTGTGACAGGTCACACACAGAAGACTGCTCTGTGACAGATACCTCGATTCACCCAGTGCCCCCCCTCCCTTCCCTCTCTCAAGGTGGAGCCGCTGGCCTTAAAGAATGAACTACTCTCCTTCTGATATTCTAATGCCTTTTTAGGTCAGTGCACATGTCAAGTTTGTAATTACTGACATCAAGAGAGACCCAAATCTGCTGTGTCTATGCTTTGTTTTTGGAGGAAAAGAAGACATTTATGGAGCGCGTGCCTATCGGCACTTTCACAGGCCCAGGGGAGTGGCCACAGGCTTCCCTACCACACCGTGTGGCCGGCAGTCACCACCGCTCCTGAAGCAGCGCCATCGGCTGTGACCTTCATGTCCCTCCGCCCCGGCTTGCAGTGGCAGAAGCCAGGAGAGGGGCAGCGGGAAAACAGTGCCCTGTGCTCCCAGACTGGCCTCATGCCCTCTGCTTGGGATGAGCCACCAGCCAGGATGGAGAGCTGTGCCAGGTCTGCAAGCCAGCTCCTTGTGTCCAGGGTCACCGTGCCCCCCACAGCCACCAGAGCCAGCCAGCGACGGTGCACACAGGGATCAGATGGGGTCTCTTAACCAAGTCAAACCCAGGATTTATGGTTAGAACTTAGCAGAAACCAATTAGGAAAAAAGGAAAGAAAACACACCTTAGTGAAAGTTCTCCTAGAGATAAATGGGCACCACATTAATGTGCACAGTCTCAACTCTGCAAGTGCCACTCGGAGCAGCCAACAGCGGGAGAATTACATCTCTAACTGTTACAACTATAATTGCCGCCTGCCAGGGAGCACGTTCCTTCCAGGGGTCCCTTGGACCCGGCTGTAGCTGGGACTGAGCTGGAGATTGCACTGAGTCCATGGCTGACTGCAGGGCCAGCGTGGCTTTTTTATGCGATGCCCGTGCTGGCATACAGGCTTAGTCAGGAAAGACCCACACATGGTCTTCCAGTTGGACTCTGGCCAACAGACATGTGCGCCCCAAGGGGCAAGCTCGCTCCGCTTGTCCAAGGAGCCTTCCAGGTAAGAGGCTCCCTCATGATGGCCTAGGAGGCCCTGGTGGATGCTGGTGGTCCCAGCAAGCAGCCCACCTCAGGTCACACTGAGGCCCAGGACCTCACTCATTCATTCAACAAACATGGAGCCCTGCCTGGGATGCCGAGGCCAGCAGGATAGCAGCTCTCTGTCCCTGGCGGGCTTGCAGCTGTGGATGCGCCTGGGACTCACTGAGAAGGGGCCATTTGAGAAAATAAAAGAAGCCCTTTGCTGTTTTTATCATTTCCCCTGAAGTCTGAAGGAGGACAAAACATATATAATGCATTTTTGAAAACTAAGGCTCCGAAAATCCAACTAGAGATTCCGAAGGTGTGAGTTCCCATTTGTGCCTGGTTCGAGGTGCTGCACAGGCCTGGCCAGGGGGAGTGGCCAGCTCTGGGGGTCCA